AGTGAATTAATTGCCTAGGGTCACACAGGTACTAAGTGTCTGAGGCCCCATTTGAACTCAGGTCTTCCTGACTAGACCCAGCACTTTATCCACTGAATCACTTAGCTGCCTCCAAAAAAGACACGGAGCTCGGCAGGTACCATGAGGATCCAAACCCAGGATCTCTTGTTTACTAGACAGGTGCTCTACCAACTAAGCCACGGTGCCCCCCAAGGCCATCTACCAACTCAGATTTGGGAATACAGACCTATCTAGGTCACTTTACTTCCCTGGGCCTCAGTTTCCTCTTTTGTTTAATGAAAAGGTTAGACTAGATGCATTCTGAGGTCCCTTCCAGCTATAGCTCCATGATCTTAAGGAGACACTGATTATCTGTTTAAACCTTGGGGTTTTAATGCAGGATCTGTGAACTTAAAAAAAATTTTTTTTTATAATAAAACTGGCTTCACTTGTAATCTCATATACTTTATTTTATGCATTTAAAAACATTATTCTGAAAAGGGGTTTCTAGGTTTCACCCCCTGGCTTAAACCATCATCCAGCTCAGGTGTAGATGCAGAAAAGTCAACAGGTCCTAAAACCATCCAAACAGGGACCAAGTAAATTCATGATGGTGGAGAAGTCGAGCTGGTTACCTGTGTGGCTAGATGACACCACCAATGTTCGAACATGTAGTTCATGCTTTGGATATATGCTAATGCATGTCAACCACTATTGCACATCTTGTATTCAGGTCTTGTTTTGTTTTTTACTTATTATGTTTTCTGGTTTATATACTAATGATATGCATTATACTAATGTATTATTGTTGGTAACTATACAATTTTGTTGTTTCATGTTCATGTCCTTATATACTAGGTATGTTCCTGGGCCTTTGTTAGGTATTCTTGTAAGATATCCTGTATCTAGTCATGAAAGTAGTTCTATCAAGTGATAATTTGCATTGTGCTATGCTTACTGCAGGCAATGTTAATGTGGCTGTGATTTGTAAACAGTACAGTGGAACTGACGATTACCAAGGATGCTATATGTTGTTGTTCAAGCGTATATTTGTAAAACTTTTCAGGGACTATAAAATCTTTTGCTGGGAGGTAAGAATGTAACAAATGCCTAGTTAGAAAGAGCCTTTCTTTGAATTTTTTGGTTTCTCCCCAGAACTACACATTCCATAAATGAACTAGAGAGCTGAGAATGGCTAGTACTAAACAGTGATGAGATATGGTTAAATGTTAGGGGAAATGGAGTTCTTTAAAAGATCGACTGGACTTTGCAGCTGTGGGATTGCCAGAGATAAGGGAACTGGACTGATACCAAGAAACAGTCATACCAGACAACTATGTGGTCAAACATGAAAAAGGGAGTCCACTGGGCTGGAGTCAATTTGCCTGGTAGAGGGAGTCCCTATCTCTTTACCTTGGACTTCTGGGATTGGAGACTATAGCCAACTGGGTTTCTGAGAAGTCAAGAGAGATTTGCTTAAGCGTACTGAGAGAAGTAAGGTCAACTGGCCTGCATTGGGATTTTGTAAGACCCAGGGTCGAGGAGCTTGAGAGTTTACCTGGTCAAGGGATTGGCTGGCTGAATTTAAAAGCCTGACAGTAACCTCCCACCTTCCTTTTTCTTCTATCTATGACTGATATTGAGAGGAAGAATAAATAATAGTGCCCCTTTGCCAGTGGCTTCTAGGAATATTGATTCTTTGGAGTTCTCAGGGACAGCTAGGTGCCACAGTTGATAGCCTGGAGTCAGGAAGACTTATCTTCCTGAGTTAAATCCGACTTCAGACACTTACTATCTGTGTGACCCTGGGAAGCCACTTAACCCCATTGCCTAGCCAAAAAAAAAAAAAGAAGACAAAACCCTAGAGAGAGCATAGAAGAACCTGGATCAATGTTATGGGAGCTTGCTACAGATAGCAACCTCAACAACTTTGGTCAGCAGTTGAAAACTCTACTTCCAATATCTTCCTTTAGTAGGGATGGGATGGAAGGAAAGGAGGAAGGAACAACCATTTATTAAATGACTACTATGTGCTGGGCAATGTCTTAAGAATTTTACAAATATTACCTCATTTGATCCTCACAACAACCCTAGGAGGTAGGTACTATTATTATCTCTATTTTACTTGCGAGGAAACTGAGGCAGACACAGGTTAAATGACTTGTCCAAGGTCACAGAGCTTGTAAGTGTCTTAGGCTAGATTTGAACTCGGGTCTTTCTGAGTCCAGGCCCAATGTCCCTGTGATGTTAACATTATGAGGAGCTCCCTCCTACTGAGGAACTTTCCCTTCCAGTGTTTTATCAGCATTTTTCTGTAATAGTCTTAAAGAGTAGCTTTTATTGATGGGGATTAAATTTCTCATTTATGAAGAAACTTTCATCTCTATTGCTCTATGTGAGATGTTCATCACCATTTCTACACCAAGATTCTAGGATTCTGTGAAATAATCTGATATAATTTCCTTATTTTACTGATGAGGAAGTAGAGGCTAAAGAAGGTAAGTGACTTGTTCAAGGTCATAGAGTTAAGTGGGTGAGGTAGGAATAGAACTCAGGCCTCCTGAGCTGTGGCCAGGGCTGTTTCCATTTTAGTTACACTGCTTCCACCTAGGATGAAACACAATTGTTTACTCCTTGGTATAAAAGAAAAAGTATTGGTCTTTAATTCAGAAGATTGGGGTTTGAATCCTGTTATTTACATGTGACCTTGGACATGTCACCTAACAAATGAGATTATATTTGTAAAGTACTTAGCATACTGCCTAACATATAGGAGGCACTTAATATTTATTTATTTTTTAAAGCTTAATTCTTCTTGGCCTCGATTTCCTTTCTATATAAAACAGGGGGGTTGTATCTCTGAAGTTCCTGCTTCCTTTCTGGTCCTAGGTGTGATAGATATCAGGATGGAGGGGCTGATACGTGACATGGGAGTATGGCTGGTCTGCGGCTTCCTCTGATTCCATCCTAAGAGCTCTTTTGGGAGAGAGCAAGGCTCTAGTGATAGATGATGCATCTGTTGTCTATGCTGGCTCATCACAAGAATGTTGGCCACGGAAGGATAACTATTTTTGGCCACACCAGGTCATGAATATCATCTCGCTTAGGAAGGAAATGCCCACCAGCACTGAAGGAAGCGTGAATCTTTTAAAGTAGAAGTTCAAGGGGCAGCTAGATGGTGCAGTGGATAGAGCACTGGCCCTGAAGTCAGGAGTACCTGAGTTCAAATCTGGCCTCAGACCAAACACTTGACACTTACTAGCTGTGTGACCCTGGGCAAATCACTTAACCCCAATTGCCTAAAAAAACAAACAAAAAAGTAGAAGTTCAATTGAACATTTTATTGTTCATTGTCATTACATGGCTCTCTTAATTGTTTCATGATACATCTAAGTCTTGTCTCCCCAAAGAGACTGCAGATTCCTTGAGGACAAAGATAGATACCACATACTTTGAATTAGTCATGGAAACTATGCTTGGCATATAGTTAACACTCAATAATATAATAATAATAATATTTGTGTAGCATGGTGCAATGTACAAAGCATTATTCTCACAACCCTATGGAGGAGGTAGTTGAAAAAAATACTAAGTGAATTAAAGAGGAATCTTAGCTCCCATGGGTCTACTTACGGTATCTATGCAGGGAACTCACAGAGCTAAATATCCAGCACCTTCCTGTCTTCTGAACTTCAGTCCTACATCACCAATAGCCTCTTGGACTTCCAGAAATAGAAGCCTTGGAGATAGCTAAACTCAACAAATTCAAAAACAGAGCTCACAGTACTCTTTTCCGCTACCTCCAGCCCACTGCTCTTTGAAAATTCCTTATTCCTGTCCAGGGTACCACTATCCTTCCAGTCTCCCAGGTTCCTAATCTCAGCGCTATCATTAATTCTTTAATCCCCTTACTCCACACATCCAATCAGTTGCCAAATCTTGATGTCTCACTCTCTCATCCAACTCTTTTTGCTCTACACTCACAGATAAATCCACCCTACTTTAGGTCCTCATCACCTCTCACCTGACTAAGATTATTTCACAGGCCTCCTAATTGGTTTCCCCTGACTCCTCTCTTCTCATTCCAGACCACACAGCTGGCCAAAGTCATTTTCCTTAGGTACAGATCTGACTATATCACACCTACTCAAAAAATTCCAATGGCTTCCTATGTCCTCTAATGATCAAATATAAATTTCTCAGTGTGGCTTTTAAAGCCCTTCACAAACTGGCCTCATCCTATATTTCCAGCTGTATTATACATTACTTTCCTTCCTAAGCACCTTGGTTTAGCCAGCTGACTTTCTTTCTGATCCTCACACACTGTGCACTTAATCTCCTATCTCCAAGCCTTTGTTCCAGCCTATATCCGTGACTGGAAGGTACTCCTTCCCTTACTTCGGGTTACTGAATGTCACTCTTCCTTCAAGACATTGTTCAAGCAACTCGATTCTGCACATAGTCTTTCTTGATCCCTCTAACAGCATGCTAGTGTCCTCCTTGAATAATTATTACCTTTGATTTAGTTCTTTTATTTTGTATGTATCCTATATATATGTAGACATGTATATAATGTCTCCTCAAATAGCAGATAAGCTCTCTGGGAGGAGGGATTGTTTCATTTTCTATTTGTTTCACCAGCACCCAGAACAGTGCCTAGCAAATAGCAGATGCTTAACAAATGCTTGTGGATTGAATTAGGCTCTTTACAGAATTAATTTCACACTTGCCAGGCCCATGGTAACAGAAGAGAAAGTTCACAGAACATAAATATTCCATGGAGAGTCTGGGTTCAAATCCAGACTTTGCTCCTTTCAGCTGTATGACCTCGTGAAAGTCACAACTTCTGTTTCCTCTTCTTTAAAAAAAAAAAAGTGGGAGGGAGCGGTGGGCTAGATGACCGTTACTCTCCCTTCAAGCTCCAAACGGCAAGACTCTACGACAGGGGAGATGTATGTCAATCGAGGGAAGTACCCCTAAGTGCAAGCCAAGCGTCCTACCTTGGCAGCTGGGCCCGCGGATGCTAGGAAGCCACGCTCCGCCCCGGACAGGACGGGGTTAATCGAGTGAGCCCTGAACCTGGTCAGTTACAGCTTCCAGCTTGGAGGCCTTCAGGCCAGAATATGCGCAGGCGCGAGCAGAGGGCGCAGGGCTGAGCCCGCCCCACACCGGGTAAGACGGGGTTAAGCGAGGGAGCCCTCTAGTGGACCATCTAGTGATTCTCCAGCTTTCAGATCAGGGAGTGCGCAGGCGCCTTCAGAGCGAGCCGGCTCAGGCTTACAGAACTGTGCCGGGCACGAAGGGGTTAAGCCAAGGACCGCGTCCGCTGTCCGGGGTTGCCAGACAGCAGTCGACGGGTTTAGGCGTGCGCAGGCGCTCTGAGGGCGAGGGAGGGAAAACGGGGGTACGGGAGGAGCGCGCAGGCGCGCCACATCGGGAGACGTGTCTCCCGGCCTGGGTGGCCGGAAGTAGCCCGTGCAGAGCTGGAGCTGGAGCTGGCCGGGTCTTGTAGGCGTCCGCCCCGTCTGTCCGTGCTGTCTGTCCGTGCAGCCGGCCCCCAGGATGCTGAAGAAGTTCGACAAGAAGGACGAGGAGTCCGGTGAGAACCGGGGGGGCGGCTCCGAGGGGGCTCCTTTCCGGCGCCGGCTAACGGGTCGGGCCGGGCGGGGCAGGGCAGCCAGGCCCGGGCGGGAGGTCTGTCGGTGAGCCGGTCTGGGCAGCCAGGGTTGGCGGGGAAGGGGGGCGTCCTCATTACCCGAGGTCTGACAGGTCGGGGACCCAAGTTGTTTGGGGAGCACGTCACCCTTCTGTAAAGGGAAGGCACGGTCCCCTTCTGCAAGCGCCTACTAGGTGCCAGGCTCAAGTAAAGAAAAACTGGACAGACCCTGTCTGCAGGGAGCTTACATTCTACGGGGGGGAGGAGTAGCATGTCACAGATAATTAAATATGGGACATGGTGGGGGGGACATTAACAACAATGGGGGAGCAACATCTCACATAAGGAGGTGGGGGGACATTGACAACACTGGTGGGGAGCAACAAGTCACAGATAATTAAATTCAGGATAGGTGGGGAAGATATTAACAACAGGGGAATAATATTCCCAACTAATTAAACACAAATAGGAGGTGAGGTGGTGAGGACATTAATAACATTGGGAGGAGGAAGCAACTTGGGACAGTAACAACACTCATTCTCAAAGTCAGGCCAAGCAGAGGAGTTCTTTCATTCATCCAACAAGCCAGTGCTAGGCACTAGGCAAAAAACAAAACTGCCTGTGCATTCTGAAGGGTTTATAGTCTCTGGAAGTCAACAGTATGTGTACATATGTGAAATACAAGTAAATAACAAATAATTTAGGAGCTGAGGTAAGGGGATACAGTAGCACCTGCAGGGATATGTAGATAGTGTTATTTCAACTAAGCTTTCAAAAAAGCTGGTTATTCTGAGAGGCAGAAGTAAGGAGGGAACAGTTTGCAGATACGAGAGATAGCTTGTACAATGACACCAAGATGGGAGATGGGTGTGTGTGTCTAGCAGCACTCAAGTTAGTTTGGCTGGAATGAACAGTGCATGAAGTGTGTGATGTGTAGTAAGTTAGGAAAGATAAGTTTGGAGTTGGAATGAAGAACTTGTAATACCAATTGAAGGAGATTTTGTTATGTCCTGGAGGTGATAGGGACTGTAGCTTTTTGAGCAGTGGAGTGACTTGGTCAGACTTTGCTTTAGTAATATCACTTTGGTAGCTGTGTGAGGGATGGATCAGAGAAGGGAAGGGTTTGAGAGAGGAAGACCGTCTAATAATCCAGGCAAGAGGTGATGAGCACATGAACTAGTGGTGTATGTGTGGATAGAGAAAAGAGGATGAATTCAAGAAATGTCGGGGAGGTAAAATTGATGACATTTGGCCACATTGAATCTGGATGAGTAGAACGGTGGCATCCTTGATAAAGTTATAAAAGTCGGAAGGGAGAGCATTCCAGCCATGGCTTCAGCCAGTGTGAGGTACAGAGACTTTCACAGGATCATAGGATTCAGAGGTGGCAGAAATCTTACAGACTGTCTAGTCTAAGCCCTGCATTTGACAGGTGGAGAAATTTGAAGCCCAGAAAGGATAAGTAATCCCCAAGCTGAACAGTAAGTACCAGTCAGGACTTGAACCCAAATTAATGGATCCCAAACCTCTTCCCTTAATTTATTCATTCATTCATTACATTATGCTGTCTTTCATATTAGTAATTTAACAAAATGTCTACTATGGGCAAAGAGATATCAGTCAGTCAGCTAGCATTTATTATGTGCCACCTGTGTGCTAGGCACAAAGATAAATGGAATAGGAGCCTGGCCTTCAAAGAACTTATAATCTAATAGTAACCCAAACATATTCATATATAATACGTGTTAAGTAATTTCAAGTGTGTAAGAGGAATGTCAAAGTACTTTGAGTCAGATGAGACAAATAATTTTCAGCTATCTAGCTTGGGGCAAGGAGGAGAAGAATGGGAAAAGCTTCTTGGAGGAGGTGGCATTTAAGCTGGGCTTTGCAGAATAGGTAGGATGTCAAAAGATAGAGGTGGGTAGAAGAAGACTTCCAAATTTAGAAAATATCATAAGTAAAGGTTTAAAATTAGAAAAATTCAGGTCAGCTTAGGTTGACCTGAACAAGTCTGATTTCACTGAAATGTAGAGTACTTGAAGGAGAGCAGAGTGAAATAAAACTGGAAAGGCAAGGAGGTACCAGATGGTAGGAACCTTGAATACCAACCTGAGAAATTCAGAGACAGTGATAGTAAGAAGTTGAAGGATTGATAGGATTGCAGGTTTAGAGCTAGAAAGACCTAAAGGTCATCTAGTCCAGCTCCTTTTATTGATGGAATTGAGGGAACTGAAGACCAGAAACATGCTTTTACTTGCTTAATATTTACTCAGCTAGTAAGTATGTAGTAAGAATAAGAACTTGAATTAGGTCTTCTCCAAATCCAGTTCTCTCTCTATTGCACTATGCCATCCTTGTTCCTGTCCAGTACTAGGTAGGTTACTTACTGTTCCCTGGGAAGTTGGTAGGAAAGACATAAACCCAGAAGACCAGGAGCCCACCAGAACCTGGAAGTTTCTGATGTTTTGGGACCCATCCAGTATGGACTTTGGCAGCATTTTAGTTAGAGGGAGGCAGAGGAAGGGCAGAAGTACATCATAAATTTTTTAACTCTGGATTTGAGGTGCTTTTGATGACATACCAAGAACCTGAGGCAGGAATTGGAGCCAAAGCCTGGAATCCAGAGTATGCTCCTCAGCAGTAATGTTGGCTCATGCACATGAATGTAGAGAGCCCACAGAAAATCATAGGAAGGGCCTCCTATGCTTATCCATGGCTAGGGTTGTATAATTCACAGGTGATCTTAGAGAGTCTCCCTGGTTCCTTTACTGCTCAGGTCTGTCACAGAGCCTGTCTGTGTGGAGCTGAACCTCAGGGTCCTATTCAAGCCTTTGCAAATGTTTCTCTAGCCATCGAGTTAGGATTCAAAGATTCATCCCACTCTGGACGTGGATAAAGGTGACACCAAGGAGGGCAAGAGTCACATTTCCCTGCTTCATTAAGTTCATATGTGGTAGTTATAAAGCCCTTGACTTAGAGGTTTTCTTATCTTCTGTCTTCTTATTTTCTAAACTGTTTGTATCTCAGCAGACTCAATTCTATACTCTATTGCAATGTTTCCACCAATCTCTGCCTACTTGGTAAAATTTGACTAGATTATTTCATCTTCTTTTTGTGCCCTGAAGTTGTTTTCTTTGCACATTCACTGGCATTGAGTAAAGTTAAAGCTTTTTTGCGTAGGATCATCTTTTCTTCCAGAGCCAACATAAGATTTTCTTACTTAATCAGAGGGGGATGATGTAGTAAATCCGGAGGATCCCTGTGCATGTTTCTTTTCTTTCTTTTAAAAAATATTTTATTTTTTCCCATGAAAAAACATGAAAAAACAATTTTTAATATTTGTTTTTAAAATTTTGAGTTCCAAATTCTTTCCGTCTCACCTATCTCCCCTCTGCTCCCAGATGATAAGCAATTTGATATGGGTTGTACATGTGTAATCATGCAAAACATTTCCACACTAGTCATGTTATGAAAGAAAACACAGACCAAAAGGAAAAAAATAACAACACAGAGAAATAAAATGAAAACTAGCATGCTTCAGTCTGTGTCTAGATTCCCATCAGTTTTTTCCGTGGAGGTGAATAGCATTTTTCATCATAAGTCTTTTGGCATTGCCTTAGATCATTGTCTTGCTGAGAAGGGCTGAGGCATTCCTAGTTGATCATAGCACAGTGTTGCTGTTACTATGTACAGTGGTCTCTGGGTTCTGCTTACTTCACTTTGTATCAGTTCATTTAAGTCTTTCCATTTTTTTCTTTCCGAAATCATCCTGTTATCATTTCTTATAACACAGTAGTATTCCATTTCAATCATATACCACAATTTGTTCAGCCATTCCTCAAGTGATGGGCATCTCCTCAATTTCAATTCTTAGCCACCACAAAAAGAGTTGTTATAAATATTTTTGTACATTTAAGTTTCTTTCTTTCTTTCTTTCACAGACCTACTGTGATATTGTTGGGTCAGAGGTATGCACAGTTTTATAGCTCTTTCAGCATAGTTTCAAACTGCTTTCCAGAATGGTTGGATCACTTCACAACTCCACCAACAATGCATTAGTGCCCCTATTTTCCCACATGCCTCCTGTTCATGTTTCTTGAGGGGGCAAGGGTGAACACATCCTTACTATTTCCAGTAGGGCCAGTAATGCTGAGTAGAAACTTAGGAAAATAGTTTACTGTTTTCCCTCTCTGCTGTGAGAGGTTGGGTGTCTGTATGAGTAGCAGCAGCAGCAGCATGTGGAAAAAGCCCAGTATAGGGACTCAGAAGGCTGGGCTTTGGTCTCAGGCCTGCTACTTCCTCACTTGGGCATCCTGGACAAGTCACTTAACTTCTCATTTTCCTCATTTGTAAAATGTGAATAGCAACATTACCTACCCACCATACTGGCTTGTGAGAAGCAAACAAGGTGATGTATAGGAAACACTTTGTTACTCCTAAAGCACTATATAAATGGTAGCAGTACTAATTGTCCTCTGTCTTAGTTGTGACCTGTGGAGTATAGTATACTTCCCTGAGTTCATTTCTTCTGATTCCTAGTCTTCCAAAAACTTCCTTCTTCCAAAAATCTGAGCTTTCTAATTCAGTGACCTCATTAGCATGTCAGCAAGAATAAGTGAAGCCTTTTCTCAAGGGTTAAGAACGATTAAAAAGGAGGGAGGGGAAGGGTGTGCTATGGGAGTTTAGGAAAGGGATCATCTTCTGGGGAAACCTTTATGGAGAATGTCATGCTTGAAATTTGGCCTTGAAGTACAGGTAGAAAGGAATTCAACAGCCAGAGTCAAGGGCTGGGGAGAAGAACTTTAAGGGCTTATTGTATGCCAGGAGCAGTAGTAAGAGCTGGGAAGACAAATGCAAACAAGCAAGACAGTCCTTTCAATCAGGAGCTTTCTGGGGGGGGGGGTTGGAGAGGAACACCACACATCAAGGGGGACTGGAAAGAGGGAAAGGATGAGGGTGGTGGGAGGGGGGTATGGTGTGGAGACTGGCCAGAAAGCATCATGGAGTCTTGGTTCTAGGCCAGATAACCACAACAAGGTCCGAGCTTAAAGCTCCCCTAGTATAGAGGTGACAATGAAAGCCATAGAGTAGTGGCAGATAAGACTGAAAAGGTAAATTGGGGCCAAACTGTGAAGAGCCTTGAGTGCCAGGGTCAGGAGTTGGGATTTTATTCTATAGGCGATGGTGAGATTGGCCTCACTCATAGTATCTTCTCCATATCTGGGAGATTGGTGAGGGTCAGTGACAGAATCCAGTATTCACTTTTCTGTGTTCATTGTCAACTTTCAGGTGGAGGCTCCAATCCATTTCAGCACCTTGAGAAAAGTGCCGTGTTGCAGGAGGTAAGTTCTATTCTTTTCTTTATTCTTTGTTCCTCCAGTGTTGAGAAGTAAACCTAACTCAGATGGAATTAAAATATCCAAAGTATTGGTGGAAAGAGAGCTAGAGAAAAATCCTCTTAATTTGGGACATTTAATCGCTGAATAATTTGGAAGCATCTCATGCTCCGAGAAAGCCCAGATCATTTCAGGCTTCCTGCAGTTATGTTGATTTCTCTGTGTGCATGTAACTTACTGTGGGCTTTAGTTAAGAGAGTCCAGAGCTGGATTTTTGCGGGGGTTATGCTCGTCAATTCCATACGTATGAATTCTGTGGCTGTCTAAGGCAAAGCATTGCTAAGTCTGTTGTGGTTTTGGGCCAAATTATTTGGATCATAGGGTGAGAATTCTCTGGGATAGTGGATGCAGGTGTCTGGTTTGAAAGAAGTGTTTGAATAGATTTCTGTCTGTTTTATGTTTAGTAGAAGCTTTTTAGATCTATTAGCTCTTGCTCATGTCATGTTTTCACTGGAGGTTTAGTACCCTCTGCTTCTGAGGAACATTCTTCTTTACATCTCATAGGAATAGAATTTCTGCAGACAACCACAGAAAACACAAAAGTTGAGCAAGGAAGCTGCAGGGCATGTGGTTGAGATTCACCTTGGGCCCTCCTCAGCCTCACTTCTGCTCTGATTGTTTTGGAGGAGAAGATAAAAGCTCTACAACCCTAGGACAGTTAGCACCCAGGAGCAAATGTGACCCTGGCTTCTTTTCTTGCCAAGAATTATCGCGGTTAGTTATTGAATGCTTGCTGAGTACAACAGTGTAATAAAGTTGGTATTTGGTACTTCTCCCACCCTATGGCTAGCAGACTCCCATTTCCTCCCCTTTTTTGTGATTCAGAATCACTCTGCAGGTCTGAGCTAAGACTGATTACCAGTGCCGACATTTCTGGGGTACTTCAGGGCTAACGGTGTTTCCTGTACATCACTTTGTTTGATGCTGACGAGCGTGCAGGGTAGGCAGGTAGTGTTGCTGTTTACATTTTACATGAGGAAACTGAGCAATTAAGTGACTTGTCCAGCAAGGAAGTAGCAGGACTGAGACCAAAGCCAGGCCTTTCGAGTCCCTGGCCGGGGCTCCTTTCACGTTACACTGCTGCCCATACAGATGCCCACCCTCTTACTGCTGAGCAGGGAAGCAGCAAACTGCTGCCCTCTTCTGCCCACGCACTGCTGAGGATGAGGCTGGCCTTCCCCTCTCGAGAAATGTGCAGGAGACGGGCTCCCTCGTGCTTCCTTGGCCTTCCCCTCCTCAGGCTCGCATTGCCACTTCTTTCTCAGCTGAGTTCTTCATTTCTGCTTCACTGGTAAAATTGAAGTTGTTTGCTACAATACAACTTTTATATTGTCCTTCCTTCCTGCTTTCTTTTTTTTAAGTCTCTGGGATCCCAAAGAGGTGGCCTTTCTCCACATGACGGCCAGTTCTTTTGCTCGCACCCCCGATTCCCAGGGCATGCCCAGTGCATTGTTCCCTCTCTCATCTTAAGCATCCTTATTTACTGCCCTTTCTCTATTGCCTGCAGCCATGTTTAGATTTCTTCGTTTATTCTCCATGCCCTTAAGTTATGGTACTACATCCCTTCTCCTCTTTGTAGCCAGACTCCTGGAAAAAGTTCTCTCCTCTCCTTGTCTCTACTTCCTCACCCCCCCCCCTCACCGCCACTTTCACCCCATCAAATTTCTGACTCCATCAAGACCCTGGTGTTTCTATAACGGAACTGTCCTAGGGGCTTTTCCCTCTCTGGGAAACGTCTATGCTCCAGGGGCAGGAGATGGATCATGATCTCGCAGGGGAGACTGGAAAGGAACAGCAGGTCCTAGGAAAGCCAGGAGAGAGCCCCATCTTAGGAGCCACAAACAGAGAGTGTCTAGGAAGAATGGATGTCGAATCATGTCAGAAGCTGTCGAGTGGACAAGAATGAGGACTGAGAAAAGGCCGTTGAATTTAGCTTTAGTTGGTGGCCTGACATCTCTCCTGACTGTCCTGTCAGCCTGTCCAAAATGTAATTCATTGTTTTCTCCTGTAAAGCTGCCCCTCCTCCAAATGTCCTTAGTTCTGCTGCAGGCCCCTCGATCTGCCCAGTTGCTCACATCCACAAGTTTAGAGTTATCCTTGACTCATTTTTTTTGCCCCCCATGTTCTCTCCCAGTGGAAGGATCCTTTTCCTTGCTTTGATTTCCTTGTGCATTTCAGGTGTGTGTGTTGCCTACCTACTGACTGAAGTTGCTTAGCTGTTTTCTTCCTACCTTATAACCTGATGTGCTCCTGGTTATGAAAGCAACAATGTGGTGACTACAGCTGTGTTTGGGATAGAACTAAGAGTTGTAGGAGGCTAAGTTACATATCTTATAACAGGCTACATAGGAAGTGGGAAATATTTAGGCCAGCCCTTTCTGGTCTGTTCTGGTTGGCACCTTTATTAATTACCAAGTTTTTCCACCCACAAGGCCATGTTTATCCTAGATGAATGATGTTTAATCTAGCCAGATTGGAGGGCCTAAAGCCTGATGAGATGGTTTGCCAGGCAGGCCCTCTCCTTATTTGCCATCTAATTGTCTTGGTTGCTTCTTTTTTTTAGGCCCGGGTATTCAACGAGACTCCCATCAACCCTCGGAAATGCGCCCACATCCTCACCAAGATTCTCTATCTCATAAACCAGGTAATGGGGTGAGGTGGAGGATGGAGAATGGTGATGAGGAAGGCAAGCGTGACTGCCTTTGCTGCTAGCGTCATTGTCACCTCTTGGCTCTTTGGTGGACTCTGTGCCATGGGGGCAGTTGTTCTGTTCTAGTGCTCCTGGTTCTGATCTGTTTTCTTGGGTGCAGATTTCTGCAGAGTTCCTTAATCAGGACAGTAATTTGCTGGGAAGACTGGCCTGACCCTTCTCTCCATCATGGAGCTCATGAAACTTAATTTTATTGTCTTTTGATTCTTACAGGGGGAACACCTGGGGACAACTGAAGCAACAGAGGCCTTCTTTGCCATGACCAAGCTTTTTCAGTCCAATGACGTAAGGGTTTCCTGCTACACTTTCTTCAGATCTCATGGATATGTCTCCCATTTTGTAGAATCCTAAGTCTGTCTACAAAATGAGTTCTCCTGGGTTGTGGCCTAAGCAAATAGAATGAGGAGAGGAGAGAACAAGAGGGATTTGAGTAAGCTCTTTGTGGGTGACACTGAGTCCCGCCCTGCCAGCTCTTCTCAGAATGATGGGATGGGCTGCTAGTCCTCTATCCCTCAGAGCCTTTGGGAATTTTCCCATTCCGCTCGTCTGCATGCCAGAAGGTCGTCAGGCTGTCCAGAGCTCTCCTGGTGGTGGCAGTGTCTGTTCTCCACGCAGTGCAGCCTGAGCTTGGAGAAGTTTTTCTCTCTCCCAGCTGACCCTTTATATGTGTGTCCCTGGAAATGGCCCTGGGCGGTTATAACACATTACAAAATGACCCATTAGAGAGGGTAGGCCTTCTAAGTTTTGGCTTTCCCAGATCTCTGAAGAGTCTATAGGGAATTATAGGAAAAGCATGAAATTACCAAATTTCAGGAAAAGGATGAAGTCGCAAAAAACGGATGTTATTTGACATCTGCAAAAGCACAGGCACCTGTGCATCTTCCCGAGGCACCTGTGACAGACTAGGGGATTGGCATCTTTGAGAGGAAACTGATGGTGTGGGGATTCAAGAGCAGTACAGGAAGCTGCCTTCCTCCAGGTGGCAAAAAGCATTCTGGGTGCAGAATCTCCTTTTATGTTGGGATGGAAGTCATGAGCCTTTTTCTGATTTCACTCACAGCCCACTCTCCGAAGGATGTGTTATTTGACAATCAAGGAGATGTCCAGCATTGCTGAAGACGTCATCATCGTCACCAGCAGGTTAGTTTTGGGGGTTAGAAGGTAGTTCATCGAGAGGACAGAGTTGTGCTACTTTTGTTCTTCAGCCCCTCTGCTCCACAGACTACTGCCAATGCCACAGGGATGGGCTTCCGGGCCACTCCCTCCTGTGTTTTAGGCACCCCTGGGGCTTGGCTCTTATGGAGTAATCCTGGTCTCATTTTTTTTTCTGTTGCCTTGGGGTTGGTATGACTTACACGTGAGGGGCGTCCATGTACTCTGGCACCATGAAAGATTGCTTTTATCTTTTACAGTTTGACCAAAGATATGACGGGAAAGGATGACAACTACCGAGGCCCCGCCGTGCGCGCCCTCTGCCAAATCACTGACGTGAGTCCTCTTTCCAACCTTATCTGTCTCCCCTTTGTTTCTTAGCCTAGATCTCTTTGGTGTATCTGTGACTTCCCTGTCTCTGTCTCTCCCCTTTCTCTTCTTCTCTGGTGTTAGTGAAGCACACTCGCTCTGCCTTTCTTCACAGAGCACTATGCTGCAGGCCATTGAACGCTACATGAAGCAGGCCATTGTGGACAAGGTGCCCAGTGTCTCCAGCTCTGCCCTGGTGTCCTCCTTGGTATGAATGTCTTCACAGGGGAGTCTGAGCAAGTAGTGAACAGTTTAGGATTAGAGATATTTAAAGAAAAATCAAAGCCATCAACTTTCTGATTTATCCAAAATCTATGTAAAAGGCACAAAATATGATTTTTTCCCCTTATGTCTTCCACCTAAGAAGGTCTGGTTTCAACGAGAAGGGGAGAGGTTGAGTGAGTTAGGTTTCGTCCTATCTAGGGTAATGGCATTGGGGCAGCTGTAGGTTTGCACAAACAACTGGTTACTTACATAACTACAAACTTATGCCGTCAGGAAAAATAGATACATGTTGTGTGTTGATACTGGGGGACCTGATATCTATCCAAGTAGGGTTACATAGTAGAGGTGGGGGGGAGGATTGGTGAGTGCCTGACAAAACACATGAGGTCTAGATGCGGGACAGGAGGGGATCCACAAAGGTGTCAGAGTCCCCTCAGAGCCACAACTCATACTCTTCCTTAATTGCTTCACCTTCATATTCCCAATCTTCTTATTTTCTTCACAGCATCTGCTGAAAAGCAGCTTTGATGTGGTAAAGCGATGGGTGAACGAGGCTCAGGAAGCAGCCTCTAGTGATAACATCATGGTCCAGGTGAGGGCCTTAGAGCGACCCTGGTTCTGGGAAAGGGAAGGATTCATTCGTTATTCAGGCATAAACAAACAGTTTTATTAACTGGCTTAGCACAGGGCCTGGCACATCACAAGTGCGTGATAAACATTGATTGATTAACTGATTAAGTGTTCATATATTGCCATGCCATACCACTGTGTCATCTGAGCCCTGGCCTGAGAATTCTCAATCCTGCTCCACCATTGATTTGCACTGTGATCACCATCTTCCTTCTCTGTGTCTCTTTTTTCCCTGTCAGTAAGTGAACTGCATACCATTCTGGTTTATGGAGTTATTATAAATACAAATGAAATCTTATCCAGTAAAAACTCAGTGCTCTTGTAGGAAGTCATATAAATAGGGCTTCTGACCTGTGCCATCTTGAGCAAGAGACTTACCAGTTTTCTCATCTGTAAAGTAGAGGGCTTGGCTTGAACAGCCTCTGAAGTCCCTCCTAGGTCTACCTCTACGAGCCTCTGGTGTGATCTAAGCTGTGTTTCTGTCTCTGGTCCAGTATCACGCTCTGGGTCTCCTCTACCACGTGCGTAAGAATGACCGCCTGGCCGTCAACAAGATGATTAGTAAGTTCACCAGGCATGGCCTCAAGTCACCCTTTGCTTATTGCATGATGATCCGGGTAGCCAGCAAGCAGCTGGAGGAGGAGGATGGCAGGTAAGGAGGCCTATTTCTCCCTGAACACGTATGTCCTTCACCCATGTTGTATTTCACTGGCCCAGTCTGCATTGTTCCTTTTACAGCCGAGACAGCCCTCTGTTTGACTTCATTGAGAGCTGCTTGCGCAATAAGCATGAGATGGTCGTGTATGAAGCTGCCTCCGCCATTGTCAACCTGCCCGGCTGCAGTGCCAAGGAGCTGGCACCGGCCGTGTCGGGTAATCATGGCTCGGGGTGGCCCCCGGGGCGGGTGGGAGCGTGGCAAGGGAAGAGGCTGCTGGGGAGGAGGCCAAGTGTTTCCCGCTTCACCTTCCCTTGGCCACCCAGGAAGAGCACTTGAGATGCTGTGTAAACTAACATTTAGTAAATCTATACTGTGTCTGCTGCTGCGGGGATGGAAGTAAAAGCCGAGTCAGCCTCAAAGAACTCAGAACAAATCAAAGGCTGATCCTTCCACAGCCGGAAGGATCAGAGGCCATCTAATCCAGCCACCTTATTTTACATACGGGGAAACTTGACCCGAAAGGTTATGTCCCTGGCCCAACATCACACAGGTAGGAAGCTTCAAAAGTGGTATTCAGATGCAGGTTCTTGGGCCCTAGAGCAGCATTCTAGGTGTTCTGTTGGGTCCTACAGCCTTGTGTGGTAGAGAAGACACACAGATGATTAGAGAAAGACAGATAGAATGAAATGCTGAATCATGTCACACAAAAAATAAATGTGGTAGGAATTCAGAAACAGAAAGAATCACCATGCCCCAAGGTAGCAAAATAGCCCTTCACGGAAGAAGTCATGTCCTGAAGGGTCATGGGGTTCATGTAAGAAAGGTAGGAGAAAGAGGAGGAGGAGGACATTCAAAGCTGAGGAACAGTGTGAAAGCCTAGGGATGGAACAAGTGAAGATAAAAGTTTTCATGTGGATGATCCTTTTTCTCTAGTGAAGTCTATCATAGCATAATTTGTGTAGATGATGTGACAAGGCCAGAAATGAAGAAGAGCTTTCCTTTGCCTCCTTACAATAGGATTACCTTCAAAGAGTAGCATTTATTAATGGCCTTTTTGTATAAGGCTTAAGTGGCCAGGAAACCTTCTTCTCTTAATAAGTTCAGTAAGGAAATGGAACCAACTTGGGGGTAAGGATGCAGTAAGGGTAGGGGTGGAGGTGGGTAATGAGAATTTGAGTGCATAGTTTCCCTAAACACCTTACTATATACTCCCTTAATGCATGATCGCTTTCCTCTTGGTCCTCATTGTCATTTGGCAAAGAGATCAAAGTAACACGTGTTTTCATACAGTGCTCCAGCTCTTCTGCAGCTCCCCAAAGGCCGCACTGCGATACGCTGCTGTTCGAACTCTCAACAAGGTAGGCTTCTCTGACGTGAAGAAGAGAGGTCTCTGCATGGGGCAATATGGGCTTCAAGCCTAGGATGACTAGGCGACTCTCTTGAGTTTTCCATCTTTTTGGAGAAGGAATCAACTCTTTTCTTCAATGGACCTCACTCTGAACCTAAAACTAAGTGGTGACAAAGGTTAGCTTCCCAGGAAGAAAACTTTGGAGAGCTTACCTTGATGCCTTTGGGTTTGAGAGTCATGAAGTGAGACGGGCACAGGCCTGATTTCTCATTCTCTTTTCTAACAGGTTGCCATGAAACATCCATCAGCTGTGACTGCCTGCAACCTGGACTTGGAGAACCTGGTAACAGACTCAAACCGCAGTATTGCCACCCTGGCCATCACCACCCTGCTGAAGACGGGCAGCGAGAGCAGCATTGACCGCCTCATGAAGCAGATCTCCTCCTTCATGTCGGAGATCTCTGATGAATTCAAGGTACTTAGAGATGCAGGATGGACTCCCGTGGAAGAATGCTGATCTTTGAATGGTCTGGTGGGTCTGGGCTACCTTGTGAGTGGAAAATGTCTTGTGTTTGTGGGGAAATTTGTTTTCACTTCCAAATAATCAGCTAACCAACTTTTAGAAAACTGTCTATTCCTAAGTTAATGATTACCTAAATGTCTCTCACCTCCCAGGAGATACGGATGTCCACCTAGTTTTCTCTCTCTCTTTCTCTCTGAACTTTGATGTTAGGATTGGCCTCACATGTGAGAGTCAGTCTGCAGGACTTCATGTTTGTTGGCTTCAGTCTCTCCTGTACTGGATCTGTGTAATCTTTTCCATGGCCATAGCATTCTGAGACATTTATTGCATTACTGGCCAGCCCAGCCCATCCTTCCTATAATATGTCACTAAGGAGAGGAAGGAGAGGAGAAGAATCTACTTGAGTCTCATGTTGTAGTTTTGAGTAGAGGCAGAGTTGTGTGGGAAGAGACTCACTGTTTAGATTTTGGGCTAGTAATTCTAGCCTGCCTTCCGTCCTAAATGACCTTGGTTCTGAAATGCCACCTGCTCACGCTTCTTCCTCTGATTTAGGTTGTGGTTGTCCAGGCCATCAGTGCCCTGTGTCAGAAATATCCTCGAAAACATGCAGTCCTTATGAATTTCCTGTTCACCATGCTACGGGAAGAGGTGAAGCTGAGAAGCTGGGGGTGGGGGGGGGAAGTCGCCTGGTTAAGTGTCTGACACTCATTTTGAGTTAAATTACTTTTCTTCTTGTCTTAATTCTTTACTGATTCCTCCTTCAGGTTAAAGAGAAAAATCTCTACTTATTCTCCTCTCCGTCTGTCTGCCCCTCAAAAAAAAAGTCCATAGTGATGTTCTAGTTAGTGGCAAGCAGGAGCAGGTGGGCTAGATATGATCTACCTGTCTTTGTCCTTCCAAAATGATCCATGAAGTGAGAAAATTTAGAACAGTTAGTAAAGTGGGACCCAGGGTCTGTATCTCAGCTTTCTTGCCATGAGTGTTCATGCTAGTTCAGGAGAAAGTGGTCTTCATGCCCAGCTCTCTACTTCATTGCAGGGTGGCTTTGAGTATAAACGGGCTATTGTGGACTGCATCATCAGCATCATCGAAGAGAACTCAGAGAGCAAAGAAACAGGGCTCTCCCACCTGTGTGAGTTCATTGAGGACTGTGAGTTCACTGTGCTGGCTACCCGAATCTTGCATCTCCTGGGCCAAGAAGGACCAAAGACCAATAATCCCTCCAAGTACATTCGCTTTATCTACAACCGTGTGGTCTTAGAGCATGAGGAAGTCCGGGCAGGTGGGCATTAGGAATTATGGAGTGAAAAGTTCACCTAGCATGGATGGGGCTGTGTGCCTGAGGCAAAAAAAGAGGAACGTATAGTGACTGGCTAACAATTATGGGGTCAAGTGCTTGAAGGGAAAAGTGAGCAATCTTAGAATGATAGCAATAGGGATTGAACTTTTGCTACAGTCTTTCTGACGATTTGGCTTTGGGGCTTGTATCTCTTCGATCGTGGGGATAGCAGATGGATCTAATTGTAAGTGTAAATGACTAATTAGTGTTTTGTGCTGTGACTGTAGGTGCTGTTAGTGCTTTGGCCAAATTTGGAGCCCAGAATGAGGAAATGTTACCCAGCATTTTGGTGTTGCTAAAGAGGTGAGCCCCCTGCCTGGGACAGGTCAGAGGTCTTTCTGCACCTGTGTCTCACTAGGGCCTAGAATCAGGATCTGTGTATCAATACTTCCGCTCTTTCCCAGGGGGAACAAATGGACAGCTTCTGTTCGATGTGTGACTAAAGTGTAGCACCCGTCTCAAGTCCACATTAGTGTCATTAAGACTCAATCTCTAGGGCCTTCGTTTTGGTATTTCCTAAGTGATGGGTAGTGAGCCATGGTGTTTGCTTTCTCTAGAATTAATAAAAATTAGCAAACAATTAAAGGATCCTTACAGTGCATGAAAATGGATCTTGCTTGGATTTAGACATCCTCCTTGCTTCAAAGATAGGAGTGTTCTGTGTTTTGTCTCCAGGTGTGTGATGGATGATGATAATGAGGTGAGGGATCGAGCCACCTTCTATCTCAGCGTTCTGGAACAGAAGCAAAAGGCACTCAACGCTGGCTACATTCTCAACGGTAACTGATTGAGAACCTTGGGGAGCCAGGCCTCTGGAATCGTGGACCCTTTCAACATTCCCAGGGCTACAGATCTCTCACTTAGCACGGACAGGCTTCTGCTGGGTTTCCATCCTGTTATTCTGTTCTTAGCATGGATAGGCTCCTGCTGGGATACTTCTTGGGACAGTAGTATGCATGACCAGGAAGCTGAGGCTCTTTGTCGATAAGCCTTGAGCATCATCTTGGCACCCATGTTAATCTGGCAAAGCTGTGGGTGTGTTCTTCACCCTAGAAAGCGGTGGGGGCAGCATAAGGTCCCTAAAGGCCTTCTCTGGGGAATTCCTAGGGATGTTCTGCTTAGCTTTCATGGAAATAATAGCCAGTGCACAGCCCTGACCTGAACTGACTGTTCTCTGCCTCGCCTCTAGGTTTGACAGTGTCCATCCCTGGCCTGGAGAGGGCACTGCAGCAATACACTCTAGAACCCTCCGAAAAGCCTTTTGACCTGAAATCGGTTCCCCTGGCCACCACTCCCATTGCAGAGCAGAGACCAGGTAATATCTTCCCTTCAGCTCTGGGCAGGTAGGAGTTCTGAGGAGGACCTCAGGGCGCTCTGTGTTGACTGAGGAACCACAGACTGGTAGCTAGCAGAAGTGATTTTGTCATCCGTGAATAGGTCTTTCACTCCTGCCACAGGTATCCTCATCCACTGTAGGTCAGAGAGGCTGTTCTTAGAGACCAGAGGCTTTTGATGCCCTTGCTCAGAAACTTTGTGCTAGGAAGAAAGACTCTTGTGTGCCATTGCTTTGGGATGAACTGTTGGTAGAGTAGGGACATGTGCGCCCAGACACTTCAAGGTCTTCCTTCTTTCACAGCCATGGACAGCAGGGGTATCTGGAAAACTCCTCGATCACAGCACTTCGAGCAGTTTGACTCGTAGTAGTGTAACTGTGGTCAATCATTTTCCTCATCTGAGAGGCACGGGTTGTACCAGATGATCTCTCTGAGGCTCTTGGCAGTCCCAAGAGTCTGTGGCATCCGAGTCATAGTAACTAGACTGTTACCACTATATTAGTTATGTGTTTATTTCTTCCCTGTAGAGAGCACTCCCATCACAGCAGTCAAACAGCCTGAGAAGGTAGCAGCCACACGACAAGAGATATTCCAAGGTAAGTAATGGGGAGGGGAGTAGGACAAGGTTCTGAGAGCCAGGGCCAAATCTTCTGGGGTTTTGAAGGTCAGTTCTCACTCAAAGTGTTGCCTCTTTGATTCTAGTTGAAAATCAAATGTCCCTAGTGCCCAGTCAGTGCAGTGATAGCCATTAGCTTTCAAAGTAGGCAAGTGGCCAGCCATGTAATATCCACATAACATGGCTTCCCAAAATGTTTCCTGTTTTCTTATCCTAGCTCTTCTCATCAGTGTGTAGTCTCTAAACCTGTTTGTGTCATCAAACGTCATCTCTATCCATTCACTTAACTGCTTTTTCTTTCTTTAATTTTTAAAATTTTTTTTACATTTTAAGTTCTGAATTGTCTCCCTCCCATTTCCTATTTTTAAAATAAAATTTTATTGATGACTTTTGTTTTTGTGCATCACCAAAATGCACATCAGTTATCTCTCCTCCCAGAGAGCCATAACAAATAATATTTTTAAAGACAATGAAAAAGAGAAAAACAATTAGCAAAACTGATCAATACATTAAAAAAAATCAGAAAATATATGCACAAAATAAAGACTTTCCACCCCTGCAAAAGCCATCCCTCACTTCCAGAAAACATTCTAGTCCACCTAAGACACTAGATTTACAGGGGTGGGGAGGGCCTCGAGGCCACAGTTTCCCCACCCCTGGAGTAGAATATCAATCCCATTTTTAGATATTCAGTGATAGAAATTCCAAAATCTATACAAATCCATTTGAACACTTAATAAGAAAGTGCTTTCTTATTATATGCATATGCATATATATATGGAAGTTCTTTCTGTTATCTAAACTAAGTTTCTCTAAATATAATCCTGCGTTATTTTTTGTTCTGCTGTAGACTATTCCCAGACCTCTACACCATGCTGCATCACTGTTAAATGCAGGCCTTCACAAGGTGTGCTGCAATTTAACATCAGTACTAGGTGGTCTGATGCAGCTGTTCATGCTGTAAAACACAAAAATAGAAACATTATTTGATTATTTAGGACTGTTAGTTAACAACTGAGTGAGTGGTAATTACAAAAATTGTTCAGAGGATGGAGGTTAGAATTATCGGGCAGGCTTTGTGAAGGAAGTAGGGTCTGAGTTGGGTATTAAAGGACAGGTAGAATTTGAATAGGTAAAAGGAAAAAGAAGAAAGTGTTCTAGATAGGGGAAAAGCATGAGGACCAGTGTGCAGGTGTACTGCACCAACAGTGAGTGTCTAGTCACATCTGTGTGTGTACACACATGCACATACATACCTACATGCATGCACACATGTGTATGTGTGTATGTGCACGTGTGGTTTTACATGTGTATATTTGTGTGGATACACATAACACACACACATTCATTCATCTGTGTGGGCATTAGCTATCCAAGAAGGCTCTACTGCAAGTTTGTTACCTAACCTACAGCAAGATAATCCTTTTACTCCTTCCTGGTTGATTGGCCCTACTGTTCCAACCTTGTTGTTTCCTTAAACCTTCCAGATCTCTTCTTCCTTCCTTTCAGCTGAGAGCCCCATCTCACACTTTATTGAGGAAATAAAGATTGCCACCATGAGCTGCTTCTTATCCCCTTCTGTTTATCTCAAAACCCCTGAGGTCCTCCACTCTCTCTCTCTCTCCTTATTTATTCTAGTCTTTGATGATGAGGAAGACCTTATCTTTGATAAAACCAGCCCCTTCCATCTTCTCCAGCAGATTGCCCCTTGAATTGTCAGTCTCTCCCTCTCCTTCTCTACTGCCTTCAAATATGTCCAAGTCTCCCTGATCCTTAAAAAACTTCACTGGACCTTCATGTCCCTTCAAGATATTGTCCTATATCTCTCCTCCCCTTTCAGCCAAACTCCAAAAAAAAAATTGTCTATTTAGTTCCACTTCCTCTTCTCTCATTTACTTCTTAACTCTTTGTACTTTGACTTCTGATCTCACTACACAGCTGAAATTTCCCTCTCTGAAGTGGCCTTTGATCTCTTAATTGCCGAATCCAATGGTCTTTTTTTTTTGTACAGTCTTTGTCCTTCCTGACATCTCCGTGGATCACCCCCTCCTTCCTTACCAGTTTCATTATATTTTGCTAGCCATTCCACCTTCAAAGCTCCGGCCAAAGCAGCCTTTTTGCCCATATGGTGCATCTCTTATTCTGACTTTGTACTAGCTCCATGCCTATAATGTGTCCTAGCCTTGCCTCCCACCCCTTTTAGCATCTCCAGTTTCCTTCAACACTTGGTTCAACCACCTGTAGGAAGCCTCTGCTGATCATTCTCAGCTGCCAGGGCCCTCCCTAAACAACCTTACATTTATTTTGTATTTATTCTTTGTATATTTACATCGCACATATGCACGCGTGTGTGCATGTGTGTGTGTGTAAGTTTCCTTCAGCACATACTTTGTGATTGTCTTTGTATCTGTAGAGCCTCACAGAGTGACTGGCACATAGTAGGTGTATTCAATACACCTACTATTTTGAAACACTTACTATATTGATCAAATAAGTTTACATAGTTAGAAATGAATGGAAACCTTTAAAGATTTATCTGGAAATCTGAACAGTAGTAGCTGACATGTAATAGGGAGTCCAGTAAATGTTGCTTTTTGGCTTTCAGAACAGTTGGCGGCTGTGCCAGAGTTTCATGGGCTGGGCCCCCTCTTCAAATCCTCATCAGAGGCTGTGGCTCTCACCGAATCTGAGACAGAATATGTTGTTCGCTGTACCAAGCACACGTTTCTCAACCACATGGTGTTCCAGGTTGGTAGGGGAGGTCGGCTCCGAGTCCTTGCTTAAGGAAGGGCTCTGGCCCAGAATGAGGCCTTTAGGGTTTGGGCCTGGGTGGGGATGTGGACATCAAGCCCTCTTCTCTCACCTCCCCTGATGAATGTTCAAGATGGGCCAGGATTGCCAAAGGGACCACATTAGTTCTATTGATTCAGCAGCAGTGAGGAAAGGGTTGTCCCTCATTAGGTGGTGCTACTGTTCCAGGTAGGGAAAAGGATCTCAGGGTTCCCAAGAATGAGCATGAAGAAATGGAGTCTGGGGCAGAATTTTCCTGGAATCTGAGAACAGAGCTCTAGACTTTTGATGATAGGGTGGTGGGACTTGGACCCCCAAAATGGAGAGGTTTGGAGTGCTGGGACCCTGAGAATGCCAAGGCAGAGTCATCTGGAATGAATTCACACACTCAAGCCATCTTTTGGGCAAGAGACAGTTTATTATAATGCCAATAGAAGTGGGCAAAGTTCCTTTTTGGGGAACTTTTGCTCTAATGGTGGTGAATCTAGAACTTAAATAGAAAAGGGACATGGGAAAGGAATGCCAGAGATATTAATTAGGTAATCTAAGAGTCCAAGGGTCTTTGGGAGCTATGGATGGGAAAGTGTAGGGAGTATAGCAGACATTGAGGGAGAAAAGACAAGTCTTTTGTTTAGCTGCCAGAAGCATGGACCTTGAGCCAGACACTCCTCTCTCTGTTCTAATAAGGGAATTAAGAGTCAGGCCTGCAACAAGGGAAACTTTTCTTACAAGGTGGGACAGGGCTGGGTTACTTTCAGATATATAGTCTTAGGGCTTTTTGAGGTCCAGGTCCCACCACCCTATCAGTGGGATTAGCAGGGAGTGGAGCAGTGGAGGCTGCTCCTGTGAGATCTGGCTAGGTGCCCAGGGTTCTCTAATGCTTCTCTTCCCTTGTTAGTTTGATTGCACAAATACCCTCAATGATCAGATCTTAGAGAATGTCACGGTGCAGATGGAGCCTACAGAATCCTATGACATCCTCTGCTACGTCCCTGCCAAAAGCCTGGCCTACAACCAGCCGGGGACCTGCTACACCCTTGTGGCACTTCCTGAAGGAGACCCCACAGCTGGTAAGCTCACCCACACACTGCCCGCATCCTCAGAGGAAGAGACTTTAAAGGCTTGCACAACATTGTTTACCACGAGTGTGTTCATTATGATTGGGAAATTTGGTTTTAGGATTTTCAGGGTGGCGTGTATGGGCATGGGCAGATAACTCCCTCCGAAGCATGACTTTCTCTGCCCCGTTCTGAAGTCAGTAGTTTCTTCAGAATTATATGGCCATCACCATCATTTGAAGTCTCCTCTCATTTTCCTTATGTTTTATAGTCTGTTCTGTATCTGTGAATATCATAATAGGTCCTCACAGGAGAGCCTCAGCATCAGGGCATAGCTTGGTCCTTAGTCCACACCTTAGAATTGCATTTGGCCCTGTTGTCTTTTCGCATAATATAGGAGAGCCCTAAATTTAAAGAATCAGTCTGCCTCTTAGCCATTTGGCAGTAATGTCTCTCATTATGTCTGGAGTTATACTGACCATCAGCTTCTCCCAACAGTTGCCTGTACTTTCAGCTGTATGATGAAGTTCACAGTCAAGGACTGTGATCCCACCACTGGAGAGACTGATGATGAAGGCTATGAAGATGAATATGTGGTAAGTGTCAGGCACCAAGGGATGTCAGTCTATGGCCAAGCACCCCATTCTTGAGAGTATCTAGACCAGTTCTTAGTCTGGGATTCAGGGGTGTCCTTGAACTTTAAGGGGAAAAAATTACATCTTTGTTTTCACTAACCCCTATCTGAAATTTAGAGTTTCCTTCAATTTTTAAAAAACATTCTAGGAGGTCTGTAGGCTACCCTAGACTGCCAAAGGGATCCATGACATAAAAAAGGCTAAGAACCCCTGGTTAGACTGTGTTCTAGGCTGTAGGTCTTCTGATTAGAATCCTAAGATTTGAGGCAGTTCATTGTATTGTAAGTCAATGAAGATCTGAATATTTTTACTTTGAAGACATTTCTTTCTCACATCATTCAGTGACTCAATTCTTTTTGCTAATCATGACAGTTATTAGAGATAAACTTCTTATGAGTTTGAGGGGAAGGGAAAACTATAAACATATAACTGCATATAACTAAAACTATAAATCTGATTTCTCCTGAAGCATTTGTTACAATACTAGTATTTGTTCAAAGTATGACTACCAGGATCTAAATCAGAAATTGTTTAAAAGGACATTAAGGATGGGGCAGCTAGGTGTCGCAGTGGATTGAGCAACCAGCCCTGGAGTTGGGAAGTCCTGAGTTCAAGTGTGGATTCAGACACTTGGCACTTACTAGCTGTGTGATCCTGGGCAAGTCACTTAATCTTGATTGCCTCACCAAAAAAAAAAAAAGGACATTAAGGATTGAGGCTCTGCTCCCCACCCTATCACACACTTGTGTGAGTTGCCAGACCATTTGCTCTGGAAGAGCAGCACTTCTGATTTACCATAGAGACATCAGGGTTCTCTCCTCAGGAGCCTTGCAGACTTTCAGACTGTGATTCCTCCTTCTCATAGCTAGAGGACCTTGAGGTGACATTGGCAGATCACATACTCAGGGTTTTGAAGCCAAACTTTGGGGCAGCCTGGGATGAGGTGGGAGAAGAATTTGAGAAGGAAGAAACCTTCACTTTATCCACCATCAAAACACTTGAAGGTAAGTTCCAGCCCCAGGAGCAGCTGCTTCCTAGATTTTTGCGTTGACCCTATACTGTTGCTGGAGCATGGAACATGAAGTGTTCTTCCCCTCCCCGTTTTGGGAACAAGGCCTTCTGCAGAGTATGTCCTGGACACAGTTGTATGTCTCCTGTGTTTCGTGATTTCAGCAAGAAGCTTTGGAGTTGGGTGGGGTGAGCTGAGAGGCTGCAGGTGGTAGTTATGTGAGGGCTCACACATTTGGGCTTTTCTTATAGAGGCTGTTGGTAACATTGTGAAGTTCCTAGGGATGCAGCCCTGTGAGAGATCAGACAAAGTACCCGAGAACAAGAATTCTCACACGTTGTTCCTCGCTGGTAAGTGTCCCCAGGACAGGAGGAAGCCTAAGCCAAGAATCTGGTCAGTACCCTGTTTACATGTTGACAGAACTTTCCCTTTACGGTCTTTCATAGAGGCTTTCCACCCATCATTTGGGAACGTAGTATTGCATTTACACATTTAGCTGCAAACAAGAGTCTGTTTCAGTGCCCCGCTTACCAGCTGATCTCCACTTTGAGTGTCAGCACTGCTCCCCTGGGATGTGCAGACAGCTGCTCTGCAGCTCTGGGCTTTGGGGACTGTCCCCACTAACTGAAGCTTCTCTGTGTTGTTATTTTGAACATCACTGTTGATTGCTATTCTTGGCACAGTACTCAGATAGCTCAGTCTCTTGTGCTCAGTCATAGCCCTGCTGTCAGCCTCAATAGTACCAATTTACCATGACAATAGGGTTTTTTATGTATTCTGTCATTTTTGTGCCCTAATGACATGAAAAAGCAATGCTGCCTTTCCAAAACACCCCTTTCCCTGGGCCTCTATTTCCCTAGCCTGATAACAAACAAATACTCTCACTTCCATTTGCAGGAGTATTCCGGGGTGGTCATGACATCCTTGTGCGCTCGAGACTGGTTCTGACAGACACGGTGACAATGCAAGTTACAGCCAGAAGCACTGAGGAGCTGCCTGTCGACATCATTTTGGCATCTGTAGGCTAAGGAATTGTCCCTCTTGGGCTCAGCACCCTCTGATACTACAATTTCAATGGGGAGATTGACCAAGAGATTCACTCCTTCACATGAACACAGTGGAAACCTCCCCTTGGCAATTACTTCTTTATTAAAATTATACATTTCTGATTTTTTTTAATTAGGTGATTTTGTTTTTAAGGCCTAAATGGTAGTTGTTTCAGTTTGTGCTGAAGCTTGCTACCCTACCTGTTGTCTGGCCTTCAGATGAATAAAGTTACCACACACAGTCTCTGAATTCTGTCTTTGAAGGAGTCCTTCCTGACCACATAAATCAGCACGTAATGAATATCTACCCTGCTTATATTACTGTGCTTCCTTGAAGAGAGCTTCCAGTTTATGTCATGATACATTAAAAGTTTTCACTGGAGAAAATTCTAAAGAGACCCTAAAAACCAATTCTTCTCTAGGCTCTAAAATCATCACTTGATACAGTTTCATAGGATTCTCATTAGATAATGAGAATATTTACCAAGTAGCAGTCATGATATAACCCCATTCCAAGCTATTATTTAGGTACTGATGATCTATAAGTACCCCGAATTTTGTCCTAGGTCACTCACTCTCAAGAGTTAGAAGGGACCTCGGGTAACATATAATTCCATCCATCCCTGGACAAGAATCCCCTCTACAATACCCGACCAGTGATCATCTAGATTTTGTCTGATGCTCTTAAGTTGGAGCAGGACCCTACTCCCTCTCAAGGCAGCTCATTCCCTTTTTGGATTGCTCCAGTGATTAAGAAGTTTTTTCTTATTTCAAAACTAAACTTACCTTTTTGTAACTTTGACTCATTACTCCTACTTCTTCCTTCTGGGGACAAGCAGCATTGTCTAATCCCTCTTCTTGGTGACAGCCCTTCCCCTCTCTGAAGACTGCTATCATATCTGTACCTTCTGTTCTCCAGGCTGATCATTTCTAACTCTGTCAAATTATCCTGGTGGCATGATCTTGAGGCCCTTCATCATGGTCATTCTTCAGTTTGTCAATGTCCTACCTAAAATGTGACACCTGGACACAAAAATCCAGGTGTGGTCTGGCCAGTGCAGAATAAAATAGGACTATCCTCCCTAGTCCTGTACACTCTCACTTTTTTCAGTCCAGACCTAAGATTTCACTGGTGTGTTGTACTCCCAATGAAGAAATTCCCTTTTTCCAATGCAAATGGTCAACTATTCAGTTTTAGTGATGGGCAGTTTTCATTCTTAGAGAGTCATCATGGTACTGAGAAGTTCAGTAACTTGCCCAGGGGCACAGAACTGGTGTATTTAAGCTAGACTTAAACTCAGGCTCTCTATCCACCTACCCTTCTCTTGCATTTGCCTTATTTTACACTAGCTTGTTTGGCTGTCAGATAACCTTATTAGTGACTGTTACTGATCTCGCAGTCCACTAAAACTCCCAGACATTTTTCAGAGGAGCTGCTATCTAGCTACTTGTGAGCTTAGTTATTTCTAAGATGTTAAATTTCATCTTCAATTTGGCCCAACTTTCTATTCTGTCATCATCTATTTGGACTGTATGGTCCTCCCATGTGTTAGCTCCCCCTTTTAGCTTTGAGTCATCTGAAAATCTGGAAAGGATGTCTTTTCAGCCTTTATTAAAATAATTAATAAAAAAAATACTAAACAGTTATAGTCAAACACCTGTCCCTGGGGCACTTCACTAATGACTTTTCTGTTTGAATTCTAATCATTAATAACTATTTGGTGTCTACCAATTCGTCTAGTTTCCAATTCACCTGACTACTGTATAGTGTACGTCTCCAAGAATACCATTTGAGAGACTTTGTTAAATCTGGGTAAATTATTTATGTTTTACCCTGATCTGAAGTTTCATAACCATAAAAAAAGAAATTAGGTTAGTCTGGTCTTACTGCCTACAACCTGAGCCCTTTGGTGATACCAGACTTCTCTTTCCAGTTCTCAGGTGGAACTATCTACCAGAAGTGCAGGTCAGCAAGGAAGTAGCCACCGGTGGCCAGCAAAGCTAGTTACTGTTTTGCTAATTGTTCGGGAAGCCGGTGGTGCTCATCTGACCAAATGAGGTGCATCTGGAAGCGTAAAAAAATTCCAATGTGAGCCGAATTGATGCTGCAACAAACATGACAAACCTAGCCAATGCCTGGGCCAGTGTTATTATGGTTACTGAGCTCGAGTTTCCCAGCATGCTTTTCATCTCAGAGCGAGGGAGCAGGATCATCCATTTGGAGCAATCAGGGCCCTTGGTCCAACCCTTCACTTGTCAGAGAAAACCCGGCTCCCGCTTCCGCGGCACCACTGCGGCCCAGACCGGGGGACGGTCTTATTTGTTGCCGATTGTGGCCTAGTAAAGGGGGGAAAGCAGCAGGAAGGCAGGCGCAGCCTGGGGGAGCGCGGGACCCTCCCCTCCCTTTCTTTTTCTCCTTCTTCCTCTCCTCCTCCTCCCTCAGTTTTCCCCTCCCCGCTCTTCCTCCTTCGCCTCTTCCGCTCCCGTCGTCTCCTCTTCCTCCCCTTCCTGTTCTCTCCCTCCTCCTCCGAGGGCTAGGCCGCAAAGCGTGACATGCGTAGTGAAGCGGAGAAGACCGTGACCGGGGGACGGGCGGCGGAAGACGGGGGAGGGGAGGGGAGGATGCGGCACGTGACCGCGGGAGGGGCGGGGCTGTGCGTGGGAGGGGAGAGGCGGGAAGGGAAGGGGAGGAGGGAGTGGGAGGCGAGCGGGTCGAGGCGAGCCAGGGAGCGGCTGGAGCGCGAGGTGAGGGGCCTCCCCGGCCTGACTGTGCGAGGCGGCGGCGCGCTCGGGCCTGGAGAGCGGGAGGGGAGGCGGAGCCCGGGAAGGCAGGGGAGCCGAGGCCCCCCACCGTGTGTGTATGTGTGTAGGGGGAGAGAAACACCTTGTGTGGGGGAGGGGGCAAAGACGGACCGAACTGCCGCAACGAGGGGGGGGGAGAGAGCGCGAGGGCACACTTATGAGGCGCCTGCTGTATGCCAGCTTTCTTCCCACCCTCGCTACATCCCTGGGAGGTGGGTGCTGTGATCAGGCCCATTTTCAGAGGAGAAAACTGAGGCAGGCAGAGATTAAGGAATTTAACCTGGGTCACACGGCTAGTAAGTGTCTAAGGCTGGATTCGAACTCGGGTCTTCCCAACTTCAGGCTCAGCTCTCCATCTACTGCCTCATCTAGAAGAAGGGGAAAGGAAGTTAGGAGTGGGGAATAAAAACAGAGATCCTCCTGGGTGGGGCAGAGAAGACCTTGCCACGGGGGCCTCACAGTTCAGGGCTTCTGGGCCCAGAGCATCCTCAGAAACGTCAAGCATTCCTCAAATATTAATGGCACGACCGGATGAGATGTTGTGGGGATGCAAGGGGAGATCCTGACCTCTCAAAGGTAGAAGGTGGATGCACGTCTGATGCAAAGTAGGATTTCAAATGGGAAAAATACCAAGTACGTAGGAGTTGAGGGAAGGGCGATGACAGATTTTTTTACAGGTGAAGCCCCTGAAGTACAGGGAGGTTAAGGGACCAGGGTCACCCAGCTAAGTGTTGTATCCACTGCCCACCTTGGGAGAGGTCTAGCTGGGGGAATCAGGTCAAGTTACGTAGAAATTGAATTTTGATATGGCTAAAGAAACGGGACCTATCATTTGGGAAACAACCTGGAAAGAGTGCAAGACTTAGAGTCTGGAGAGATGTGGGTTGGAAGTCTGTGAGTGACCCTCAGCTAGTTTCTTGATCCTTCAAAACAAGGACGATATCTTTTTTAAGACCGGTATTCCAGTAATGCTATTTGGCTACAAATCCTACAGCATCACGGTTTTTGAAGAAGCAGAATTTCTGATGACCCAGAGAAGCAATGGAAAACCACATAGAGGGTGTAGGTGGCACGTCACTGAGTAAGATCTATGCAGAAATGGCATAAAATAAATAAAATGGCATAAAATCCAGGAAATTACCTTCTCTGAAAAAGAGGTGGGCCAGTCAAATGGAAAGGCTAAGTGCTTCAGTGGCACCTGTGTAATCATTAAAAGACCTGCACTAACCTGTGCGATTTGGTTAAGGAAGATATATGAATGGGTTGTGATCAGCACCTTTGGAGGGAACCACCCCCTCAGGGAGATCATTGACCCATTGAAGTATGTTGTGAGGCAGCTTTCACAAATGTCTTCGATGATTTTATGTAATTTCACCTGATCTTTGTTTTAAAAGGCTTGAGAAGCGGTGCTAGAGAATGTGTGGCCGAACATCCTGCCACTTGCCTGTAGAGACTGTCAGGAGGGCATGTAGTTACATTGACAGCTTTGGGCAAGAGCAGCTGCCAGATTGGAAGGATGAAGATAAGTACTTCCCCTCCTACAACAAGAGTCCCCAGTCCAACAGTCCAGTGCTCTTGTCTCGATTACATTTTGAAAAGGTAACTACTCCCTCTGCATTCAGTCCATCATGGTAGACTTTGTGATGTTCAGTAGTTATTTTATGGTCTCATCCCGCTGACTTGGTTTAGAGATCTCGTCTCAGAGTACAGGCTTTCCCCACTATGTGTTAGTCTCTACGGATATTACAGAAGCCTCAGCCAAAAGCAGATGTCTCACCAGTGTCTGTACTTTAGAAGACAAATCAGCAGCCGTTTATTAAGTGCCTACCTACCATGTGCCAGGTTCTATGCTAACTTCCAGAGAATAGCAATCAAGTGTATTAGGTAGCTCATTCTTAACTTTGCACATAATTTTTTTTGTTCTAGTGTTTAGTTTTCCTTATACTTGAATGTTTTGTAAGCATATTTATATGTCTAAAAGTTCTTTATTTTTAACACATCTTTTGCATTTCTTAGCTATGTACTAGATCAAAGTAGGTGAATCTAGTTCAACATTCCAAAGTGGAGTTGTATTATTTGTGGTTCTAGTAATCATCTCCTTACATTGTTTTCTGGACTAGTTAAGAATTATTTGAGCACCATAAAGTGCTCCTTCAAGCACCTTAAAGATTTTTGTGTGTGTAATACAATCACATTCTAGAAGAGAAATGACAAATTATTGTTCTGTGCTCCATAATGAACACCTGTGTGTAAAAAAAAAGAAAAATCCTAATTGGTTTCTGTTTTTAAAGGGTACCACTCTGTATTTTGAATGGTATTCTACAATATTTTAACTTGATCTAATTCAGAAATCATTTTATTAAGGCCACTTAAAAAGTTGAAATATGTTATTGTGACATGAGTAATTTCCCAGTGTCCTTTGTGGAGACACCAAGCCCTTTTAGGATA